AAATGTAGGGGGCCGGGGAGATGGCTCAGTGGAATAAGCACTTCCCTGGCAAGTGCAAGGGCCTGAGTTCAATCTCCAGTTCTGCAAAAAAGAAAAAAACCAATAAATGTATCAAGAAAATGCCTCACTGGCAAAGCACCTGCTTAGCATGCAAGGGGCCCTAGGTCCCTCCCCAGGGCTGCATAAAGCTCAAATAAATCAAATACAACAATGAAACAACTTCCTGTATTGAAGAAAAATAGAGCAATGACCACACTTTCAGCAGGTGGCCCAGGACAGTTTCCCTGAAGAGAGGCAGAGAAGCAGGATGGAAAGGATGCAGAGAGGAGGGGGAAAAGCCATTTGGGGCCAGGGTTTCACAGCAGGCGCTGACAGACCCAGTCAATGTTACCCTTTATCATACAAGAATTATCCACAAATGTTCGCAAAAGATTACACAGCACCTGCACAGCCCACCGAAGTCCACCCCAGTAACACCTTCCTATTCACACCGTGGACTCGCCTGGTGACTTAGGGACACCAAAGCAGAGCTACCTGGCACTGAGACCCTGGGATGTGAGCACAGCTCTGCAATGAGTAAGGGCCACAGAGTGTGCGGGAGGATGGGTCACCTTTCTCTACGGCCGCTGTGAACTAGGAATATAAAGCATTGGGAATTTGACACACAGTGTTGTTGTGTGTGGCTTCTTTATTTGTTTTCCAGCACAAATATGTGCCCAGGTGGCCCACATTCCTTTCCTGTAAGTCTCACCTCCAATATCATGATTTCTAAATAGCTTCAAAGGTGGAGGAGGAGGGAGGATAGGTCATCAAATCTCAAGTTAGGAAAATGTGACAGTGCTCAGTGCTAACACTCATTTCAACTATACACATGGAAGCCGCTACTCCAGCCTTCCAGAGAGAGCTGTCCCTTCTAGACAGCAAGAGGACAGGAGCTCTGGTCTTGGGAAGTAGATTCATCACTTTTCATACCAAGGAGTGAAGTTCCAAGATGTATGCCAGAAGTTCCCCAGGAGGTTCCCAAGGTGAAAGCAACAGCACCAGGTGGGCCTCAATCCCTGTCCCTGCAGTACCCGCAGTATCACTGAGGAGAAGGCGAGAGTAGAGCAACCAACCCCAGCCGCAGTGGACACTGCTGTGGGGGAGGGGAGTCACACTCAAACTGCTTTCTGTCTCCACTACATAACCCTAGGCCACGCATCAGGATCTGGGAGACGTCACTCTCCTGGGACACCTGATGGCCTCTCCAACCCTACATCACTTGTTCCTTCAGCCCTACTCCCTCAGCAGTCAAACTCCATCTCCATGGGGGACCTTTTCAGGCCATCCACCTCACCCCAGCTCATGGTGCATGAGACAGGGCAAACCAGAAGTCTGAACCACCACACTAAAGAAAACAGTGGGTGGCCTCCTTGGCTGTCAAGAATTTAGAAGCACTCTT